ATTATTGAATTACAGCAGAGAAGTGTTGGTTCTGCTGCCCTGAGAAGAGGTGGGGCTTATTTTTCCCAACACATTTAGGCTTCCTTAGTAATTTTCCAGATACTGCATCTGACTGGTCTTTTGTGGATGTTACACACATACAGATGTGTAGGTGCAGATATACAGATTGTATATGCAAATAACCCTTTTAAAATAGTCAGCAAGGAGGACATGCAGTTTCAGTGTCTAAGTTGGAAAAACTCCGAGAAATGAGCAGGTTCTGAGAAGTCTTCTGACTCAAAATCAGGTTAAGTGATTTGCTTATATCTTTGCTGTCTATTATGTCAGCTGTTTGTCCTGAATATTAAGAGTATGTAGTTATCTTCAGCCTTTCGTGAAGGAAGGACAAAAGGGGAATGAGAAGAGTTGCTGAAGCAGTGAGAGCAGGAAGCTGCAGTCACACCACCAGACGCATTAATCAGTGGAAGGTGGAGGGAGTTAGAGCATATAGGGAGTTAGAACACATATCAATATCAGTCCTATGCAGTAACCTTTTTCTCAAAATGACTGCAATAATAAGGCAAATACTTGTTTTTCATCTGAGAATTGTTTCAGGCTGAAACCTAGATGCATGAAGTTGCATGGAGAAAACATTACAATAAAAAACAAAGCTTCCTACATTCAGCTTTCTGCTCCAGTAACCGTGTCCTGTCGCTTGCTAAGGGTCATGTAAAAGGCAATAGGAGAAACTATCTGACATCGAGAACTTTGGTGCTTGGGAGTGTGTGCAGTTGTGGGACTAATAGAAAAGATAATAACTACCTGTAGATAGGTCTCGTAGGGTCTCTTCAAATCAAACAAATGTAGATTTCCAATGATAGGTAATGCTCTTGGTCCTGGGGGAAAATTCTTTATCCGGTGGTTATTCCAGAAACCTCCTATTTTCAAAATTAGTAGAAAAGCCAGGATCAACACTAAGCCAATGGAAGTGCTGCTGCTCCAGTCCATCTCTGTTCAGCTAAGTATTTGCCACAGAAGAGAAATGAGAAAATAAGAACTCTGGATCTTTGTCCTCCTGCAAAATATTCCTGCGAGAGACGCTTGTAGTAGCTCAGAACCCTCTTTCCGAGTCAAGGGTATGGTATCCTTGCGATTGGTGACTGTTCTTGTCCTCTTCCCCTATGCTTACTGATGAATCCTGAATACAGTACGGAGGCAGGGAAATGTCTGATAGCTGTGTGTCTATGACTGGCTGAGCAAATATCTCACTGTCAAAGTCCATGAGCATGCAGAAACATAGGTCATCAGCCCGGTGTTTGGTACAAAGGTCATGAACTCTGCATGCTCTTCAGGTTACTGATTAGTTATTTTTTCATAATTAGCACAGACACAGCCTTGATACCCACAGAGCTGAAATCAGAATGCCAATGCCCAAGTGGTTAGTTGCACAAATATATGGTGTTATTTTAAAAGTGCTTAGGTGTTGATAGAATTCTGTTCCAACTGAATTCATTTAGAATTTCAAATCACAGAATTACCGAATTGTTACAGGTGGAAGGGCCTATTGGAGGTCTCCTAGTCTAACCCCCTTGCTAGGGCCACCTGGAGCTAGAATATCCAAGACTTATGTTTAGACACCTTCTGAATATCTCCAAGGAGAGAGGCTTCACAACCTCCTGGGGCAATGTGTGTGAGTGCTTTGTCACTCTCCCAGTAAGAAGGTGTTTGCTGATGTTCAGAGGGAAGCTCCTGTGCTTCTATTTGTGCTGCCTGCCGCTTGTCCTGTCACTGAAAAGATCCTGGCTCTGTCTTCTTTGTTCCATTCCTTCAGGTCTTTATATATAGATCCTCCCAATCCTTTTCTTCTCCAGGCTAAAGATTCCCAGCTCTCTCAGCCTTTCCTCATAAGAGGGTTATTCCAGTCCCTTCATCATCTTCATAGCCTTTAGCTGGACTCTCTCCAGTACATCCATGTCTTTTTTGCACTGAGAGTTCCAGAACTAGACCCATCACTCCAGGTGTGGCTGCATCAGTGCTGAGTCCAGGGGAAGGGTCACTTCCCTTGACCTTCTGACAACACTCCTCCTAATGCAGCTTAAAATACCAATAGCCTTCTTTGTGGCAAGGGCACATTGTTGACTCGTGTTCACCTTGATGTCCACTAGGTCTTTTTCTGCCAATCTGCTTTCCAGCTGGGCAGCCCCCAGAATGTATTCATGCCTTGGGTTGTTCCTCCCCAGGTGCAGGACTTTGCACTTCTCCTTGCTGAGCTTCATAATGTTCCTCTCAGCCCATCTCTCCAGCCTGTTGAGGTCCCTCTAGATGATGTCACAACCTTCTGGTACATGAGCTACTCCTCCCAAGTTGTTGTCATCAGCAACTTTGCTGAGGGTACAATCTGATGCATTATTCAAATGAAGACACTAAGCAGAACTGGACTCAGTACTGCCTCCTGGCTTACTCTGCTAATTCCTGGCTCCCAACTGGTCTTCGTGCCACTGATCATTAACCTTTGGGCCTGGCTTTTCAGCAACTTTTCCACAAACCTCATTGACTCATAGGAGAGTCAGTCAGAGTTAATTCTTGAGCTGTGGAGAGGAGAGGAGAGGAGAGGAGAGGAGAGATGTCTATGAAGAGTCTGAGAGGCCAACTCCAATGGGAGAGGAGTCTTAGATGTCCAGATCCCTTCAGAGCCCTAAAACCAAAGTGAAAAAGCTACTGAAAAAGGCACAGAACCATCTTTCTTCACAAAATTCCCCTGTGAGTTGAGGAAGTGGTCAGGGTAGATGACTGGTTTCAGGGAATCATAGAATGGTTCCGAATCTACTCTCTTTTAGTTTAAAACCTTTACTCCTCATCCTATCACTACAGGCCCTACTTCTAGGGTCCTCCTTTGTCAAAAAGAAGACAAAGAATTCCTTAAAAATGGTGGTTGGGTTACCTAAAGGGATCTATCTCCCTACTCTGCTTTTTGAGAGAACCTCAAGGACTGATTTCTCTGGGGCAGCAATCTTCTGAAAAAAGGCAGAGGACAGTGGCAAGTACTTAGTGGATGAGGGTCTGGGTTATTATGGAAAGATTACAAGGAGAACTGGAGAACAAAACTGCATGGTTTATTTTGCCCTTTTTGTTTTAAAGACATAAAGATAAATATTGAAAGCATTGATCTGAAAGATTTACTGGCAGTAATTGGTAGTTTCTTAGCCAAGTATTTCTTTGTGGTCAACATTTACAATCAGTGAATGAAGGACCCTCCTAATACCCAAGTAGGATTTTGAGTGATGAGCTTCAGGTATTGAGGATAAGATTTATACAACCTGTCTGCAATTGGAATCTTGTTTCATATACTTCAATACTTTATGTTTGTAAATTATGCACAAAATACTCCTAAAATCTTTACATATGCAATATTTACATTGTTATGTGGCTTCTCAGTTTTTTACAAAAATGATTGTATGAAAACATTGAAAGAATGAAAGATGTTTTCTAGCCAACAGGGTAGAAAAAAGTCTGATGTTGCACATCTGCAAAAGAGCATATCTGAACTAAGGTTTATTACAACGAATGTATTTTCGCTCATAGATAAAAATCTGACATATGTAGTAGTAGACAGCTGATATAACATATGGGAAAACCCAGCCTGGTGTCTTTCTAAAGTTTTTTAAGGAATAGTGCATCAGCAGAACCAGAAATACCTCTGCTATTTTATGAGAGGAGTTTTTCCTTTGAACCTGGTAAGTAAGACTTGAAATAATGTGATAATATAGAAAAGTCTTGTAATTTCATCCACTGTAGCTTGTCCTTCTGAGACATCAGTGGTAGCTTTCTCTGAATAATGCCTAGAGGCACTGTTAGATTTTCATCTCCCATCCATTGCCTCTCAATGGATCACCTCATGTAGGCAGGCAGAAATGTGTGACTGCTCCCAGCTACTCTCGTCTCATAGAGCTCCTTCAGATGCCTCGATTTTTGTTTCTCTTAATTGAGAAGCCATTATCATCACTTCTCAGGTGGAATTCATTTAGCTTAATTTAAGTTCAATTTTCTTCCTTCTGCTTTCTTTGTTTTAGGAGTCAGTGACTTCAAAGATACTGACTCTCCGCTGAGTCTTCTGTAGGTTGAAGACAGGTGCGTTCTGATCAGTTCCTAACAACTCATTCTTTTTATTGGAGCTAGCATTTAGTTTAATTTATGTCTATTGATATTAATAGTGCTACTCTCCACTTACTAATTTTGGATGTAAAAGGACATATTATGTAATTACCTGTTTGTCATAGTTCTTACTCAGTTCCCTTATCGTGTCCTTGAAACAATCTAAATAAATCCAATAATGAATTTTTTTACCCTTTCATTTTCTTCTCCTTTTCAATAAATACACTAATAAAGAATCTTTATACTCATATTGCCATGTAGGTATACCTCAGCAATCACTATATTCTGTGCTTTGCCATGGAAGTTATTTCAACATTTTGGATTTTGTCATAACCAGTCTTCAAAATACAACACATTTACTCCCTCATCAAAAATAGTACAACACATTTTATTGAAAAGTTAATCAGGGATGCTCTGGTGAAAACCTGGTTAGAATCCAAATAAATAATATCAGTCAATTGCTTGTTCGTTACTCCTGTGCAGTGGAAGGATGTGACTGTAACTCCAAAATCTTGTTAAATATGGTATCCTGTAATAGGCTTGAAACACAAAGATTGTTTCAATGGCTATATGGACTCAGCGATGACAAAAGGTAAAATGCAGATAATTTTGTAGAGCAGTTTGTGTTTTGTTGTTTGGGGTTTTTTTCTGAAGAACAAATATGTTGAAAGGATCTAATTAATTCATTGGAGCTTAGCATAATGACTATGTATTCTAAAAACAAGCTTGCTTTATATTACAAAAATAGAGCTATCTGCAGCTCCTTCTTGAAAACCTAGCCTGGTTAGGATAATACTCAGGTGGTATTTTTTAGAATTAGAAACTGAAAAGAACATAATTAGGACAAATATTCCAGGTGAATTATTTTTCTACATAGTATCTTCAAGTCTGCTGTGCTCATCGTAGTTGTTGGTGTGAATTTCATGTGGTTTCTCCTCTTCTGGAACCTGCCATGAAAATCAGAGAAGAGTTCAGTTGATGAGTTATAGACCTCCTTTTGCCATAAAAAAAAAAGAACAAAGTGCACTGAGAATGTTGTTCTGTTTGTATATATTATGTGTCTACTTGTTAGCATTGATGCAGCCTGACACGAACCACCAATTCTGAATTCTGAGAGATGAATTCAGGGTTTTCTGAATAGAATTCCTTAACACTGACTTTAGATAGAAGAGTGCAAAATTAACATCTGGGATTCTCAAAGAGCTCTAAAGAAAGAGGTTGACCATCTCTAATGAAATGTAAAATATACTGTATGCCAGATATCAATGTCCCTTCCCATTACCTGGGAAAGCTCATTTGGAACACAGTATTTCTGAGCGGTGCAACTGATGCTACAGGACCTTCAGTTGACCAGGCTTCTTTTGTTATCACTGGTCATCATAGGCTGTGAACTTTTCAGGTATACCTTAAAACTTTCCTTTTCCTGACATTTTTTTATCACTTATGTATGACAGCCTATTTCAGGTCTTGCCAAAAAGCAGTGCTTTGACTTCCCTGAGGTCAAACAGTGAATGACTTGCAGAACTGTCATTAAAAGGTTTTTTTTGTGATTGTCATTGCGACAGCTGATCTTTTGGCTCAAATCTTCCCCTTAGACTGCAAAGTTTCTCTCGTCAAAGCCCAAACTGTGTGCTTCATAGTGAAATTTAATTAATTAAAAAACTAATAAAATCTCCTCTTTGGTTCATTATGTTTTGTTTACAAAGAATCTATGTCATGTATTTCTTCTTATCTTGCCTTTTTGAGTTTCGTCTTTGCATAAAGGATAAAATTCAGATTGCCTAAATTGAGAATCTATCATCAGTCTCTAATGAATGGAGATGCGGAAAGCCTACAAACAGTACTGGGATCTTCTTAGAATCACAGGATCACAGAATGTCAGGGGTTGGAAGAGACCTCTGGAGATCATCTAGTCCAACCCCCCTGCCAGAGGAGGTTCATCTAGAGCAGGTTGCACAGGGTGGCATCCAGGTGGGTTTTGAATGTCTGCAGAGACAGAGACTCCACCTCTCTGGGCAGCCTGTGCCAGTGCTCTGCATCCATCAAAGTAAAGAAGTTCCTCCTCATGTTTAGATGGAACTTCCTATGTTCAAGTTTGTGCCCATTACCTCTTGTCCTGTCACTGAGCACCACTGGAAAAATACTGGCTTCATCCTCCAGATACCCACTCTCTAAGTATTTATAAGCATTGATAAGATCCCCCCTCAATCTTCTCCAGACTAAAAAGCCCCAAGTCCCTCAGCCTTTCTTCATGAGAGAGCTGGTCTAGTCCCCTAATCATCTTCGTAGCCCTTTGTTGTACCTTCTCCAGCAGTTTCCTGTCCTTCTTGGACCGGGCAGCCCAGAACTGGACCCAGTACCCCAGATACAGCCTCACGAGGGCAGAGTAGAGGGAGAGGATGGCTTCCCTCAACCTGCTTGTCACACTCTTCTTGGTGCACCTCAGGATGCCATTGGCCTTCTTGGCCACAAGGGCACATTGCTGGGTCATTAGCTTAGCCAAGAGGAAAGGTCTGTATTTCTGCTTTGCACTTAATTGTAGCCATCCAACTCAGAGATTTATGTGGGACCCCACTGATCAAATCTAGGTCTCTACAATACAGAGCTCTACATCTGAGGTGGGCAATGAGAGCTCTTTCATTATCAGTGGGGAATATAGAGACTTTCAAGGCTTTAATCCATGTAACCTAGCGTAGATCTGGAAGGATTCAAATGACCTGCAGTCTAGAACCATCTCTTCACTGCGTGTGAAGGCAGCCTAGCAGGGTTATTCCAGATGTACTTTTCTCAGCCCCATTGTTTGTGTCTTCATACCAGGAGGCCCATCTTCTTCTAATAACCTCAGTGGTCAGACCTTTCAACCAGGAAGCAGAAGAACTGCTCAGCCTAAGGAAGACTGGGTGATAGTGATAAGACTAGGGGGAATGGATTAAAGCTAGAGATGAATCGGTTCAGATTGGATGTGAGGAAGAAGTTCTTCCCCATGAGGGTGGTGAGACCCTGGCACAGGTTGCCCAGAGAGAGGGTGGAAGCCCCATCCCTGGAAGTTTTTAAGGCCAGGCTGGATGGGGCTCTGGGCAGCCTGATCTAGTGGGGGATGTCCCTGCCCATGGCAGGGGGGTTGGAACTAGATGATCTTTAAGGTCCCTTCCAACCCTGACAATCCTATGATTCTGTGATTCTAAGATTCTAAGACTCATCCTATTAATACTGAAGGAGTGCTCTAAATTTCACTCAGAATGAAATTCTCGATGACACTAGAGAAGCAGCACCATTTAACCAAAAATGCAAATATTATGTGCCTAGATTACAAGATGATACCTGATGCAGCAAGCACTTAAAAGAGAGACAAAGACCTCCACTGAGGTCTCACTTTGTTGGCTCTGTTTGTGTTTTTTGTTCGAGGTTAGTCCAATGTTATTGTCATGACTAGCTAGCAAGTCAAGAAAAAGATCCTAAAGGTGGCCTTGATAAATTCACAGCCTGAGGCAGAGAAACTTTTTTGAAAGCTGACTCTTGTGTGCAAACCACAGGCCCCAGGAGAGCAGGAGTGCAGTGTGCTGTGTATCTTCCAAAGTAACAACAATAAATGAAGGTTGCATCGTACCTCCCAATAAACAGAGTCATCAAAGCAGTTCTGGTCAGATGCTTGCCCCAGGAAGGGCAGCTTTAGAATACCACCTGCAAGAAAAAACAGCATCAGAGGTTAAAAAATGGACACAATGTCCAAGTAAATGTTCCTCAAATGTGCCCTGGGGAGTCATCTAAGTTTTATGATTAGTCTACAAAAGCACCCAACCATCCTGGACATCAGGTTGCCCATGAGAGGTGCAGGTTTCTCCATGTCAATATGAATAAGATCTTGTTTTTAATTGCTCAAACCTGTCCCAGATTTCAGACTGGAATTTTGTATTTCAGCTTGATTTTTTATTTTTTTTTTAGAGTATCCACAATCACTTGGAAACATGTGACACCTAAATGGATATGTCTTATTCTCAAACTAGTTTCTGTTCAGAATTTTATGTGTCCATATATAGAAAACTGCATCCGGAACAACATCTTATTATTCCTGTATATACAACTCAATATGTCTGAAGCATGTATTCAGAAAGATATCTAGGCTTCATTTGAAGCCAAAATTATAAAAAAAATGTTTTCCCATATTTAAGTTTCTGCCTGTGTGCCATCATGCATAATTTCTATTTTTCTGGTTTGTATTATTCACATGAAATTGTTGATACATTGATGTTCTCCCTGGACAAACCTCTTAAGTCACATATTTTTCAGTGGCTCTGCGTGTCATACTGACCTGTCAATGCTCCACCCACCAGTGCCACTCCAATAGTGATGCCCAGGGCAGCAGCCTGTCTGCCAGGAAGAGAGAGCTGGACAGCTGTTTGATGATTAGAATTTTGCCTGAAAAAAGCAAGAAAAAATCCCATCAACAATCAAAAAACTCTTACACTTTCAGACTGATAACTGGTCTTACAACATTGTACTTGCTGTCTGCTGGACAAGATGCCTCATAGGAAAATTGCCATTGCTGTGTACAAGGCAGAAATCATGATTTTATTTTGGTGTTGGTTTAGACTACAGATGGAAGCAAGTTCTTTGAAAAAGTTATTAGTATCTTTTCAGCCTTTGGAGAATGCTTTCTTTTGTAAAAAAACCCAAACACCCAGCAGTTCATCTTTTTGGAGTCTTTTAAAATAGTGGAAATAGCCCATTTTTGCCAATTTTCTTGAAAATCTTACAGTTAGCAGTGTAATTGTGAAATTATAATGAAAATTGTCCTACATTTGAACAATGTTGTATGCTGTTTTTTATGATTTTTTTAATTTATTTGGTTTTACTTGAGCTTTTAATTTGGAACAAGCTTGGCATATATAAACAATGTGTTAAAGGCAGGATATCAAGAAGGGTCTTATTTAAAATGGAACATGATATCTGACATCAAATCAAAGATGCATTTTCTGAAAAAAACCAATCACAATTCAGTCCAAAGAAGGTAGAAAATTAGGATAGACCTTCAAAAATCAAGTGACTTTTTTCTCTCTTCTCTCTATAACGTACCCATTTTCCTTGTGTAATGCAGTTACTACGATGCCAGCGATACCTCCAAGTATTCCAGGTAAACCATGTAAATTATGAACACCACAAGTGTCTTGAATCCTCAGCTTGGATGCCAACAAAGGCTGAATTGAGGGGAAATAGGAAGTTTATAGTGAGTTTATAGTCTTCCATTATAAAAAACAATTTAACTTACTTCACATATGCAAAATTTAGCTATAAAATGTGCTATATTGTCTCGCTTCTCTGAATTAGACATATTTACAGTAAGATAATTGAATATTAATATGAATATTAACATTATCGAGCATTGGAACAGGCTGCCGAGGGAATTGGTTGAGTCACCATCCCTGGAGGTATTGAAAAGCCATGTAGATGTGGTGCTCAGGGATATGGTTGAGTGGTGGACCTGGCATTGCTAGGTTAAGGGTTGGGCTCCATGATCCTAAAGGTCTTCTCCAGCCTAAACAATTCTGTGAGTCTACGACCCTTCTGTTCACTGTGAAATTGTTTATATGCAGAGAAAACCAAGTATGTGCATATAATGGTACAAATGTCCAAGCTACCATTGTAAGTATAATGGTAAAAAAACGAGAGGCCACTGACATTCCTAATCTTTTCAGCCACTGGAGCAAAGGTGGAAAGAGGTGGCTAAGTAACACATTGTCACCTGTTCTGAATCCAATAGTCAGGTATTCTCTTCCAGAGTGTTCCTCCATCAGAAAATGCCAGTTTAAACAGTTTTAGTCAGGTTATTTGTTTTCTACATTTTGTACATAAACCAACTCTATTTTATACTTCGGATGCATTTTGAAAATGATAGATCTACTAAAAGATTTAAAAGACTGAAATGTTACTAGCTCTGTTTCACTGAAGCATGAGCTTCCAGCAAAATTCTGGAAGCTCCTTGAACAGAAATCCCAACTAGAATGAACTCCAATATCTTTGTGATCCTTCTCAGTATTGGACTGAAGTTAGCTCAGAAGCATATACCTTGACTCACGCTGGCTTAAAAAGAGCTGTTTTCTAGAGCTTACTCTCTGTTGTGTATTAGCCAATTTCTGAACTCTCTTTCCACCAAACCGAAGGAGCTCCGGTCAAAACAAGGAACCAATGAGTACATGAAAGGTGAGGTGGGTCCTCAGTACGTACAGTCAGGAAGTGGTACCCAAGGACAGAGATGATTCCAGAAATGCTCCCAATGCACATGGCACCAAAAGGCTGGATGGACATGTCAGCACAGGTACCCACTGCTACTCCTCCCGCCAGGGTGGCATTTTGGATGAGAACCTGCAAACAGTATACAGAGGGGAGACATTCAAGGTCAGGCATGATGGAGCTCTGAGCAACCTGATCTAGTTAAAGATGTACCTGCTCACTGCAGGGGGGTTGAACTAGATGACCTTTAAAAGTCCTTTCCAGCCCAACACATTCTATGATTCTATGATATACGTCGTGTAATATAAACAGAGACTTGGTTTAGGGTGAGTGACTTTGAAGGCTTTTCTGCATATAGAAGTTTTGTGTTTTACTCGGATGGGATTTTTCCAATGAAGAGTGAATGGGAATTTAAAATAGAGTTCGCAGTTATGTATTCAGCTGTTTCAAAGCTGCTCTAAGCCACTTTAAGTGGGGTCAGCTTAATGAAGTCCAACTTTTGCAAAGTTGCTAAAACTCATCTGGCCCCTGGAGAAGCCAGGCGGAGCCTCCTACAACAGCAGCAATTCCTGCAAGTTCATCGAACCCTGCCTGCTCATGCTGGGCTTAGGTAAACCCCCCCCAGCTACTTCAAAGAAGTAGGAAACAAGGAGAAGACAGGTTGGCAGCCTGGCAGCCCCAGCCTAGCTTTGCTTTGCCTGTTGTGCAGCTTCACAGATTGCCAGGGAGCAGATGGTTGCTTCAAGAGACCCATTTGCAATTCTGGTATTGCCATCCGGTAACTCACAAGGGATTTTCTTTGGAATAAGAGCCAAAAGTCCATCTGAACATTGGGCTGGTCTCTATGATCCACATGCAGTGATCCCACAGAGTAATCACCACACACCTAAAGCGGGCTGCGTTGCTTCAGTGCCCAATCTCACGTTATAGCTTTTAGAAGTATAATAACTTTAATTTTGCTCAGGCCGGGACACCAGACTATGGGCAAAGACTCTAGATAGCTGGAAATCTGCCTAATCATCCTTATTACAAAGGGGTGACTTGATTTAACAGAGGTTGCAATGTGATCCTTACCATACTGAATTTGCCTCTTTGATCCACCAGACTGGAGAGGGCAAACGTTACAACGGTACATGCAGCCAAGGAAAAGTAAGTGTTGACAGCTGCTCTAGCCTGGTTATTCTGTGCAATGGCAGAGTTAAAACTGGGCCAAAAAACCCAGAGGAACAGGGTACCTGGATGAACGTAAGTCAAAAAGAAACACAGAGTAATCAGTCACAAGGGGTAGTTCAGTGTGAAAGACTCAACACAGCAGAACTAGCTACAGGAAATGGGGAAGATGATGAGCAACAAACATGAAATAGCCAAAATGCTGGAGGAAATAATAGATTACACAGAAGCTTTTGACAATGGCAGCTGGGATTGTGACATATGATCTCTGTCAAATCTTACTGGAAGACTTTAATGTGCTGTGACTCCACCTGCTGCTGGAGCTCAGCACCACGATGCAAAATCATATCAGAATAGGATGCATTAGCAAGATGATTCATATGCAAATCTTTTATCATCTATTGATTTAACTGATAGTTTTAGCTGGTAAATTGATCTATGAATGGAACTGATGGACAGATAGATGTATGGTTTCTAACATTCATTAGCAGGACAGACAGAAAGCAATACTTTAAATTACAGCCAATTTCTATGGAAATGCTACTTACAGCAGAAGAGTTAACAAAAAGGGAGTCACCGCTAGTGCACAGCAAAAATACAGCTATAATTTGTTTTTTCCCCTTTTTAACTGAGAAAAAATGGCCAAAATATTTGTGTCATGGAAAACGTTGTATAGTATTGTGTTCAGTTTTGGGTGCCTCAGTGTAAGAAAGACACTGATGTGCTTGAGCAGATCCAGAGAAGGACAACGAATCTGGTGTAGGGTCTCAAGCAGAAGTCTTATGAGAAGTGACTGAGAGACCTGGGGTTGTATAGTCTGAAGAAAAGGAGTCTGAGGGGGGAGACCTTATTGCTCTCTACAAGTGTCTGAAAGGACATTGTAGAGAGGGTGGATGTCGGTCTCTTATCACAAGTTGCAAATGACAGGACAAGAGGAAATGGCCTCAAGTTACACCAGGGAGGTTTATGTTAGACATTAGGAAAAACTTCTACATGGAAAGAGTTATCAAACAGACGCGCAGGCTGCCCAGGGAAGTGATTAATACACCATTCTTGGATGTGGTTAAAAGCCATCTAGATATGGTGCTCAAGTACTTGGTTTAGAAGTGGGCCTGATAGAGTTAGATAATGGTTGGACTAGATGATCTTAAAGGTCTTTTCCAACCAAAACAATTCTGTGATTCTATAATTGTGCATGCATCAGATAAAAAAGAATATGCCTCTAGGAGTGTACTTACGAAAAACTATACAGTGTAATAAGTAATGAACAAAACAACTGATCAGCACTCACATTATTTCTTCACTTACCAATCATGGCAAATATGTCCGAATGATACGTAGATTCATCATTTTCATGTTTGTTTTTCAAACCAGGACGATACAAGACTAGGGCTACGACCAAACCGAAATAAGCTCCAAAAGCATGGATAGTCATTGAGCCTCCAACATCTTTGGCCTGTAACAGGGATGCAAAATAGTGTCACAGATTTTATACAATATAAAGATGAGGATTTGATGAAGGAGATATCTGGATGACTTTAATGGTTTATTTTCTGTGGTAGAAATTAGAACCTAGAATATGCAAACTGAAAGTATTGCACAGTGAAATAATTTGTTATAAACAGAAAACAATTACTGCTAAAGAGTCGTACCTGAAGTATTCCTGTAACTACATGTTCATTGCAGGCAAAGATTGTGATCTCCAGAATTGTCAAGATCAGCATCTGGACAGGGCTTGTTTTCCCCAGTACTGCTCCAAATGAAATCAACGCAGCTGCTGTGCTGAAGTCTGCATTTATCATGCTGAGGTTAAGAAAACGAGTAAGAACAAAATAAAGCAAAACAAAAACACAGGAGAAAAGAAAATCAGTTTAATGAGATGTGAAATAAGACTGTAATATCAAACCTGTCATGCGACAGGGAGGCTGGATTAAAAATAATCTCTAAGGTCCCTTCCAGCCTAGGCCATTCTATGATTCTATGATTCTATGTCATTAAAATGACAGAGCTTTAACTCTTCGGATATAGAATTTTCAAAATCATCTTTGTAGATGAAAATTAAATCAAACCTTTCCAGATGGGCTTTGCAAGGATCTTACCAGCTATCGAGGAAAAAGTGTGGGAAGACTACCTCCTGCTTGTACCTTATATGAGCTTAGCTGCTTAAAATTATAGTGAAAAGTCAGGTGAGATGTGTGTTGCAGATGTGCAGAGGTATTTCCAGCTCTGTCACTTGAACTCCAAAGATGACAGGGAGGTCTTACCCTTATGTCAGATAGTTTATCTCACGTCAAAGCCTTGCATGCATTTTTACCACTGTGCATCGTGTTTGCACTAGCTGTCAGGAAGGACCAGTGTTAGGAGGTTATGGAGAATAGCAAAGATAAATAAAAGCACAAGTTGGTCAGAAGCCTGCAGAACAGAGGGGCACCAACTAATGCCAGTCTATTAGCATTAAGGAGCTACTTATAATTTCTGCTTGTCCCTGAGTAGTGTTTAGGTGCTGTTCCTTTCAAAATTGTGTGCAGATCATCTCAGAAAACAGAACTGCAGATGTGGGAAACAGCCTGTGACCTTGGTAAAAGAAGGACAGATGAATGGGAGGGGGCTTGAAAGTACCTAAAGACATTGCTCATGAGGTCTCTTATTCTATGATTGGGGTTCAAAACCTGCTGCAGTATGGTGCTCATACAAATCATTCCTTGAGAAGTAGGAGGAAACTTAGTGACTGAATATACGCACTACTCCAGCCTTTCTTCTCTGACCTCATGTGTTGGGTAAGGACAAATCATAGAATCATAGAATCATAGAACAATTCAGGTTGGAAAAGACCCTTGGGATCATCAAATCCAACCATTAACCCTACACTGCAAGTTCACCCCTAAACCATATCACCCAACACCACATCTAAACGACACTTAAACACATCCAGGGATGGCGACTCAACCACCTCCCTAGGCAGTCTGTTCCAGTGTCTGACCAAATCCTTTGATGGCTGCTGGATGCAGAAGGTGCATCTTCCAGCTTACATTGCTCCAGAGATTCAAAGCAGTCTCTTTACAGGACCTAAGGCCCATGTGTAATGTAACTTCTCAAATTTTATCCCACCCCTTGGTTGCCTTGGTCCAGTGTATCAGGGGCTGCCCCTTTAGAGGTGAAGGGCAGAAGAATCATTGAATCATAGAAACATAGAATGGCCTAGGCTGGAAGGGACCTTAGAGATCATTTTAACCCAGCCTGCCTGTCACCAGGGACACCACTTCTCGACTAGATCAGGCAACACATGGGGACCGAACAGGAATGTTGAGAGGTAGACAATAAAGCTCATTCAAATTTGAGTCAACTTAGAATTCTCATCCCACAGATGTTGCAGTTTGTGGTTTCTCCTGATATGTTAAGTAACGTAAGTATCAATTTTAGTAAATGTACATGTACCTGTTGGTATCGACGTGAATTTTCCCTTCTTCTGTATGCCAAAATCCTTGCATCAGAATTCCCCATTGAAGACCAAAGGCAGCAATTAACATGTTGATACCAACACTGCTGAATCCATATTTCTTCAGAAAGGTCATCAGAAAACCAAATCCGACAAATATCATCACATGGACATCCTGAAAGACTGAAGGGAAAATATGTCTCTGTAGTGATTATCAAGAGCAACTGTGAAAGGAGGAAAGCTAGGGACAAATGAGGATTTAATAGAAAGAAAAAGAGTTCCAAACTCATATCATCATTGTGATACATTCTTCCCCACTTCATGACCAGTCTACTAGTTTAAGATGGATTGTCTGGAAAATGCAAGACCCAGTTATTGAATTTACTCCTTGCCATATCATTATGGAATGAACACTAGTTCTCCATCCTAGCAAACTTAATGCATCTGGAACTGCTCAGTGTGTGTGCAGGCATTTAAGGTAATGTCTAAATTAGCAAATTACTATTACTAATCAGCATATACTTACATCTCCTTAACTATGGTGGGTTTTTTCTTTTCTTTTTCAAATGTGAATTTTGTTAAAATGTGACTAATTATTTTCTACTTTTTTGTTTTTAATAAATTTCCTTTTCAGGCTTTTTAGTACAAACTGAGTATATCACCACAGCATGGATATTTTGTATTTTAAAATACTTTCTTACTCTATAGCATTTCATGTGATTTAATAGAGTCTACACCAAACAGGCTTGAGTCCTGTAATTAATGCTTCCTTGATTTTGATGTTAGTAGGAACCTCAGTATGGAGGAACTATTTCTTTGCATTCCTGTTTCATTGCCTCTTACACACAAATATGCAGGGAAATTTTGAGACATTGACCTGGTTAGTGTATTTGGCCTGAAGCTACATTTCCCAGTTAACGTACTTTCAGCATTCCTCTAGTTTTGCTTTATGCATTACCATGCTTAGCCAAAAGAGGGCCCAGAAGTATAATAAGTTACTGGAGCTTCCTAATAAACTCCTTTCCAGTTGCACTTCCTTATGCCTGCCCTGACCCAGCGCTGAAATACACACACACGTGTAGTCAGATCCTTCACGTCAGGCACATCTAAGAAACGCCATAGAAATGTGGGTGGTTCGCAGACATCCCCAACCCTTTTGCTTCCTCTTTAGGTTGAACATTTCCGTATTTTTTTCCTGACTTCGATAATAGCCAGTCATGGGATTTTTGAGGCCACTGCAGCCCTTTGGAGGCTTCCCATTTCCCTCCATGTTCCTCAACTTCCAGAACTACCATCTGAACTCTTGTGTTGTGCTTACTACTTATTTTAAAAGATATACAGCGTTACTTTGAACTCAACATATTCCACTGCTTCAGATGACCTGGCAAGAGATGAAAAACATATGGCTGGGGACAGTACAAACTGTGCTAATACAACTGTCTGGATCCTACCAGTAGCAAAGGCTTCAGTGTCTTAGTGGATGCAGAACCCAAAGCACATCTTCATTGCCAATATTCCTGTGTCAGACGAGTCAGCAGGATGGGTTTAGAAAAAGCATATTAAAGTACAAGAAAATTTGATAATTTGATGGGTACATCTCTCTGTGCACCCTTTCAGCTTGTAGCAGTCTTTGCCACTGGAACCCAGAGCTGTCTCTTCCAGACTAGAGAAGTCATAGAAGCCCCTTCCCTGGAAATGTCCAAGGCCAGGGTGGATGGGGCTTTGAGCAAGCTGGTCTGGTGGGAGGTGTCCCTGCCCATGGCAGAGAGGTTGGAACTAGATGTTCTTTAAGGTCCCTTCCAATCCAAACCATTCTATGATCCTGTGATTTTGTGATTCATAGCTGACTTTCCTGTGGTGATGGACTGCAAATCTAGAGAAACTCTCCTTCTAATGTCTCGGAAAACATGTAGCAGTGGTTAGTGCCAGTAGGACTGAGAGCAGACAGCCCTTCCAGCATTCCTCCAACACCACCCTGATGATCTCAGGTACAGGTGATCATCCACCTTTTGCTTTTAAAGTGGGACAAAAATCTATTGGCAGGTTATATGAGAAAGCTCAAGGAAAGGAAGGAATAAGCCAAATCTTATTCCCTCTTTTTTGAGGATAAGTGCAAACTGAATACTGAACAAGTCTTTTCTCTCCTTTTTAGAATAATATTCTAAGAATAACCATTCATGCAGTAACCTGTGGGATCAGCACCTTTGCATCTGACTGGTGTTTTGGGTTATTTGTCTGACTTTTGTAAAACTACTTTATTAAAAGCTCATTATCTTTATGAAAAAATAGAGAACTAGAGAGAAAGTCCATAAAAGTTGTGTGGCAACATCTAGAAAAGTAGCCTCTGTGTTTGACTTTTTCAGAAGAAAATTGAAATGTATTTAAGAAGCACCTAGTATGGCAAGTCAACATCATATAAAACTTTAACAGTTTTCAGTTTATATCCAGCTTGAGTTTCATGAACAAAATGAGGGGTGCATTTAAAAATTATGTACTTTTGCTCTTTTTATTATTTAGTCAGCCTATGCCATGGACTTTCCAATAAAGGTTGTTTTGCCATTCAGGGTAGTCAGCTACAGGAAAGATTTTTCATGTCTCCCAGGGGAGATTATGGTTTGTTAGCATTCAGCATATACTTGCTCTTGTTTGCAGTCTCCTGCTTAAATCACTGCACACAAAGCAAGTAATTTGTTCTCATCAAAACAATCCAATTCATGCACATGAAACCCCAGTAAATCATGTCTAGATGAGTAAAAGATGTTTTTCTGCTTGAGTAACCTGACTCTCCGTGGGAGCAGAAGAACAAGTTTCAAAAGTATATTGGTGAGTGAGAAGTTCAATTCTCAGTGCCCATCAACAGGGCTTCTGCATGCTCAGGTCTCTTTGGAAAGTGCTTTTAGAAATCTTACCCCAGCCCTGAAGATCAAATGCAATTCTGTTGGAAACAAGCAGCTAGCTGACATGTAATCCTGGTTCCTCCTGAGGGCTAGCTAGGATTCATATAAATGTTTTAAAGCTGTCTGGACTTAATTTTACAAAAGATTAAAAATCCTCATTAAAACTAGGTGAATTAATGAATGTTAAGGACAAATTTCAGCTAATTTAGCCTATGCCTTGTGCTCTAACTACCTTTTATGCATCTTTATAAAGACGAGTAGGTCTGAAATTGTTTAAAATTTGAAGAAAACAGTCAGACTTGAAATAAACTGTTTCAGTAATTAGTTGTATGTTAAAAAAGCACTTCTATTCTGTGAGGCAGGAAAATAAAGACTGGGAAAAATGCTCCAGCACATCCTGAACAAAACCACGGCACACGATTCTTCAAGCCTGCTCAAGACCAACGTATTAATTCTGCTGCAAGGCCTCCTCATGGCGGTCAGTCTCAACACAAAGATGCTTGTGGCATCTAGGTTTATACTAAAACTGTGATTTTGCTCTGCCTAAAGGAGTAAATTTTAGAACTCTGACCAAGAGGAGTGCATAATTTTTTTCTAAGCCGTGAGTCCATGGCTCAATCACAGGACATTACATCCAGGATACCAGTACTAAAGAAATTCTCTAAGAGCGCTTGCAAAACCAACACATCCTCTTGTCCTCCCACTCTAGCAGCATAGCACACCTGAAGTTCTCCATTCAGTTTGCCACTTTTGTACTTGCAGTCAACAGAATTAAATCTAATGCGAAGCTGTGGTTTGGGAATTAGCTCAGCTCAGCCTCGCCTTACCTGAGTGCAAAACTGTGGTGATCCTCAATTATTATTTTTATCTTTCCTTAGTCCAAAAATACTGGAACAGCTTGGGTTTGTGGTGTGAAGTATCTAAGGCATATAAAAGCAGTCCTTGCACTGCAGTTCTGAGAATATAAATTGGACCCTGGATGAATTAATCTATGTGGTACAGGTAGGTTAGCATTGCAGGGGATAGCATAGGAAACAGTTTGAACCCATTGGTTTGTGAACTTAGGAGAACTCCTGGCTCAGGATGTGTCCTAATATGTCTATACAACTATAACATTAACCTTCTGCTAGGCCCTCTGGCAAACTGTGCTCTTGTGTGCATTTTGCAGATGGAGAATTTTGAGAGGAGTCGTAGAATCATAGAAATGTTTAAGTTGGAAAAGACTTTTAAGATCATTAAATCCAAACTAGCAAGCCAGGTCCACTAAACCATGTCCCTGAACACCACATCTACATGTCTTTTAAATACTTCTAGGGATGGTGACTTCATAAATTCCCTGGGCAGCCTGTTCCAGTGCCTGATACCTCTTTCAGTAAAGAAATTCTACCTAATATCCAATATAAATCTCCCTTGGTGCAACTTCAGGCCATTTCATCTTGTCCTGTTGATTGTTACTTGTTTGTACAGACTGACCCCCACCTCTCTACAACCTCCTTTCAGGTAGTTGTAAAGAGTGAGAGAGTCTCCCATCATCTTTCTTTTCTCCAGGCTGAACAACCCCACTTCCCTCAGCTGTTTCTTATAAGATGCGGTCTAGATGCTTCACCAGCTTTGCTGCCATTCTTTGGACATGCTCTAGTGCCTCAGTGTCCTTCTTGTAGTGAAGGACACAAAACTGAACAGAGGATTCGAGGTGTAGCCTCACCGAAGCCAAGTACAGGGGTAACACCACTTCTCTAGTACTACTGGACATGCTGTTCCTGACGCAAGCCAGGATGCCGTTGGCCTTCTTGGCCACCTGGGCACACTACTGGCTCACGTTCAGCCAGCTATCAATCAAAAAACCCAGATCCCTCCTGGCTGAGCAGTTTTCCAGCCACTCTTGCCCAAGCCTGTAGTGCTACCAGGGTTGTTGTGGCCAAAGTGGGGGACTCAGCAGTCCAGTTGGAATCAGACAAACAGAGGGATACATTCAAAATTACACAAGTACTACATACAGGCAAGGGCTTCTGCACCGTTATGACTGTCATTAAGAGAAACCGCAAGTCTTCAAGATGTCAGAGCCAAGAAAATGAACCACAAGCCTTCAATACTGCCAACATGACAGAGACTATTCCTCTACAGACTTATTTTTCTATTAAATTACAGTGGTCTGATCTTTGCACGAGGAGGAGGAGGGTGGGAGAAGTCAGCAACTACTTCTCAGGCCAAACGCTTTCTCCCTGAACTTCATCAAGCATTTACAAAACAAGAAATCAACAGAAGCATTTGCAGGCTGATCCATTGCAGTTTACAACTGAGTCACTGCTTTAAAAAGATAGGAGGGGGTTATCCACTAAAACTTTCATGGAGTTCAATTTCTGCAGCCGTATTTTGCAATAATGATGAATATGCTGCCCAATTGCTGTGTTCTCACCAGAAAATTTTATGAAACCTGGATGACAATAATGAAATATTCTGTTAATATTTTATTATTTGATGCAGTAATTAGGATAGAGGGTCCGGCAAGAAGCACTACAATCCATCTCTAGAAGTTTTCAGGGCAATTCATATTTCCAAGTTTTAATCTCTATGCAAACACAAGACTCCTAGAACAGCTAACTTCTCATCAGCCAGCTACTTGAAGAATTTCTTATATGCTCAACCTGAATTTGTCTTTGAAGTCTGCTGCTTTCACACCTCAGAAAAAGTTAGTTTACTCCAAACTATGATTTTACTTTCTAACTATATTGGTAGGTCTCATAAGATGTTCAGAAATCTTGCCTAGGATTAGTTTAAAGAAATTCTAATTTCTATAAATCTTAGACAGCAACACTTACGTGGGTATAAAGTTACATCTCCGTCCTTGTCATAGTCCACAAAAATCCCAAACAAAACGATGATGATCACTTCCAGAAGAAGAGCTAGAATCGAGAATTTGAACCTCATGTTGGTTTCAAGGGCTAAAGGCATTGCAGGGAAGTAGACAGCTGTGGGAGCCTGATAAAGGACGCTTGCCTTCAGTGGAGCTGCCTAATTCAGTGGATCTGGGTGATATAGAAAAAAAAAAGAAACAGAGAGACAGGCGAACACATCGTCACACCCACTGTGGGAGGGAAACAGCAAGGGTCAATATAACGATTTCTATTTCCCAGGCTATTTCTTACATGAAATGCTGGCTCACATATTTTTTAAATTCGTAACGCGAACCAGCTCATTTAGGTATGGATATGCTGAAAAAAAACTCAGAGAGACTGGTTTGCTCCATATAATAAGCAATACAGTGAGAGTCAATTATGTTTTTTTTTAATCAATATTTTCTTCAAGTTATATCATTCATTTTAAAATATAAATAATTTTTCATCTTTTATGAAATGTGAATACCCTATCTCTACATAGAGACTGTGAAAAGCAAAGAGAATCTCTTTCAGCAAGCTGAAGAAGTCTTATTTCACAATGAATGAGTACTCAAAGCACAAGTTCTCAATGTGAACACTTATTTTAAAAGAAAATAATTATACTTCTTTATAAGAAAAAGCAATATTTCTAGTTGTTAAAATATCACCTGTAGTTTATTATTTAAAAAAAAAAAGCTCAATTTTTCAGTTTCAATTATTGCTTTTTGCATTTCTCTTAACCTGGACAATGAAAATAGATCGGAGACTGAATCCTGGTGAGACTGTTGCTGGCAAACTGCTCATTTTAAAGAACTCATTAGGGAGGCTCTATAGATGGATCTAGATGGGCTGGGTTGCTGGGCCAAGGCCAGTTCCATGAGTTTCAATAAGGCCAAATGTTGGGTCCTGCACTTCGGCCACAACAACCCCCAGCAGCGCTACAGGCTTTTGGGAGGAGTGGCTGGAGAGCTGCCAGGCAGAGGGACCTGAGTGTGTTGATGCACAGCCGGCTGAACAGGAGCCAGCAGTGTGCCCAGGGGGACAAGAAGGCCACCAGCATCCTGGCATGGATCAGGAACGGTGCATTGAGCAGGAGCAGGGAGGTGATCATGCCCCTGTACTTGGCTTTGGTGAGGCGTCACCTCGAGTGCTGTGCCCAGTTTTGGCCCCCTCACTGCAAGAGGGACACTGAGGTGCTGGAGAAGGTACAGAGGTGGCTGCCAAGCTGGAAAAGGGCTTAGAACACAAGTCATATGAAGAACAGCTGAGGGATCTGGGGCTGTTAAACCTGGGGAAGAGGATATTGAAGGGAGACCTCATCGCTCTCTACAACTGCCTGAAGGGAAGGTTGGTCTGTTCTCCCTAGTGGCAGGTGATAGGACAAGGGGAAATGGCTTTCAGCTGCACCAGGGGAGGTTGATGTTGAATATTAGGAAGAATTTCTTTATGGAAAGGGTTGTCAGGCAGGTGGTTCAGTCACTATCCCTGGAGGTGTTTAAGAGACAGGTGGATGTTGTGCTAAGGGACATGGTTTAGTGGTGTGGATGAGGTTAGGACTAAGGTTGGACTCAATGATATGAGAGGGAGGTTGGATTAGATGATCTCTAAGGTCCCTTCCAGCCTAGGCCATTCTATGATTCTATGATTCTATGACTCTATGGTTCTATGATTCTATGATTCTATGATATTGACGGTCTCTTCCAACTGAAACTGTTCTATGGTTCTAAGATTCTATACTGGCATAGCAGTATAGTGCCATGGCCTTTCCTCTGGTCCTGAGGGCAATTTACGTTGTTGTCAATCCTTAGCTTGCCACACAGTGACTGACACCAGGCACCTTTTAGGAATGGTGTCCTCTTCAAGGTGACTTCTGGACTAAATCTGCTTGACACTGCTATTGTAATCCAAGGGAGGATAAAAACCCTAGCGCTGTTCGGTTTTCTAGTATGAAGGTAGAATTAAATGATTGTCCAAACTAAGTTTAAAATTATCTCAGCTTTTTCTCCTTGAAAATGGGTCTGTGGGTTTGGAATGGAAATCAAATTATTTAACAAGAAGAACATATCAGTCTATCACAGAATCAAACTTGCAAGTGGCAAAGCTAAAATAAATATATATGTATGTTGGTTTTGCAACGACTGTATTTCATTTGAACAGCTCAAAGAGAGGAAGTAGAGCTTTGTTAAAAAGCTATTGCTCATCCTTGCTGTACCACAGGATAAAACAGATGGCAATGTTTGATTATAACAACCTGCAAGCTCCTGAATTTGCACAGGAAGTGATTAAAAAAAGAACAAAATCCTGAGTAAAGGTCATTGTTTGTTATGCAGAGCTCAGTCATGAATATCTTGTGCTGTTTCCCAAGTGAATATCTCACAGTACTATGTGCAATCCTACTAATAGGCCCTTTCAGGGGTGCAGAAAATGCTCCTTGTTGATATCCTTTTGGAGAAAGTGAGTGCTAATAAATGTTTCAATTTTAAAATGGGTCAAGTCAAGTTCAATCACTAATTTCTCTGAGATTATTAATTAATTGCATGCAGGTACATAAACACACACAGGGAAAGACACAAAATAAACATTGAAAAAGAATTAATGTGTGTCTTAGTTGGTCATGTTATACTGCCTTTGAAGTTAATGTGAAATTATGTCTTAACTGTTTTAAACCATTGTCTTAGGAAAAGATGCATAATATTTTAGAGATTATGCAAGATTTTGATGAGTGGTTCAGATTTAAGCATCCAAACTCTAGAAACTTGGCTCAGGATGAGGTTTTCAAGGACTTGCTAAAAGTGCTTGTTTGCTTTCCTGTAATTCATGGGACCTGTGCGGTTCATGAGCTGGGGATCTGTTCTGACACCAGTTGCCAGGTGTTGGGGAAGAGCCACCTGCAACATCTCTCTGCAAAGACCGGCTATCTATTCCTGTGCATCCAACTGCTGCATAGGGCAATCAAAAATCCACATATCTTGAACTGTATCTAGGAATGTTCCCTGTGTCTCCTTCACAGCTTCAGCTGAATCAGGATGTCTATAAGTACAAAGAAAGTGAAGGGTTCTCAGATAAATATTGTTGCACACCTGGATCTACTAACCAGCTTTAGGTATTTGTCTTTTAAAGGGCCATTGGGTTTCTCACTCCACCTTTCCATCTAGTAGAAAGATATGGTGTCGTTGAGGTATCACAGACCTTACGTAAATAAATGCAACAGATGTTATTTCAATAAATATGACAGATTTTCAGGCTTCCAGACAAATCAAAACAAGCAATAAAAGGGTAGTTTGAACAATATAAAAAGATACATTTAATAATCCTCTTACAGAATACCCTCAAGCATCATTAGGAGTGGCTTTCACGTAAACAGGCATATGCTACATATTTCTATATCTGATCTAACCAGTAATGTTTCCCTTTTAATTCAAAAGAGAGAAATAGAAACTGTTTTCATCTTAAAGGGAAATACCTAAAATAAGCTAAGTAGGCCATGTGAATGCAGGGACCCAGCCCTCAATGCACTTTAGGTCACGTTTGTTGGATGACACAGGCTCAAGTAAGATTCAGGATGCCTCCTAGAAGAGAACCAGTGTGATCTGCTGAAAAGGCTGATGTTATTTAAAACTCTGAGTTCAGTTCGTTGAAGACTAAGCTATGAGTATCCCTCAGCCAATGATGTGGATATACAGATTTATGACTTGGGTACACGCCGATCTTTAAGCTACTTCTTGGGGTGTGTGCTCTTATTGTGGACATGACTACAGAGACCAGAAAGATTGGTTAAGATGCCACTTGCCTGCACACTGTGACAGAAATATTTCTTAGATCTCCTGAACTTTGAGCTCAATAAGTTTATTTGAGAACATCGACATTTATCCCATTTCTGTGGTGTCATGGTAGGAGAGTTTTTTTCATTTAACATTAACTTTAATGCTTAGAGTCAGCAGACACTTACCTCACCTCAAGTTAAAAGCTCAGCCAAGTAAATGCAGTTTTTCCATTCAGTCCTTAAATATCCTCTTTCACCTTGAAGAGACAAGTGGCCATGTGCTTTCCAACTCTTTGGATAGTAACAATAAAACTGTCTTGACTGGATCCATATCACCCCCACCAGCCTCTTACCTGGTTTCTTACAAATGTGGGGAAAATAAAGTCAAAAATTCACCAACAGAATTTATTACAGGGAATAATTTATTATAATTCATATTATTAATTTATATTTATTTATTTTATTTATTTTAAATTATTTATAATTTATTACTGAGATTAAAAGAAGAAGGAACACAATGGACAAATAGAAATCACAGCTTAATAGATAGATGATGATTTAGTTTACCTCATTACCTGCAGGATCTCTTGCTGAAGTAAATGTGTTTTATTTTTCCACTTGAAATCACACAGAATTTCTTCTCTATGGAAGATTTACTTGATTACTATGCAGCAGTTTTCCTCTCTCCAGCTCACACTAATGGTTAAGACTAGAATGAATTACTCAGGTGTTTTGTTCTCACCAGAGAATTACATCCAGTTAAGCTGTGTTTGGCTAAAGTGTACCTTGTTGAAGAGGAGCATGGTGGGCTAAAAAACTTCACATTTTCAGGCTCTGCTTATATTGCATGAGCTCTTCAATGAAGGAATAAAATGCAGAAGCAGAAGCTTTTGGTTGAGGTGTATCCCAAAGGCTTTGGTAGAAGCTCCGTAGTGGAGACGCTGTTTATAAAGGAAAACTGGAAAGATACACCTAAAAATAATTGTTTTCTAATATTGCTTACAGGATTTGTTAGCTGGGCTAGCTATCGAGTTCTTGGCAGCATGGAGTTTGGGGGTTTGTCTTCCAGTGTCAAGGAACGTACTGTTCTGAATTACCTTTTACCACAACATCACATTATACACAACAGAGTCTTCAAAGAAGGCTTTAGCAACCCCTTCTATGCTCATCTATCACTTGAAATAAAATTTTGGTGGACTTTTAGCTCTAGGTAGAAGTCCTGATCATCTGTGGGTCTGCACAGATTCTGTAACATGGTAATTTCCATCTCCTGGACTTGTGCAAGGTGTTTGACACTGTCCCACGTGACATCC